GATGGTAGGGGAGGCAGTGTAGGTGAGATGGGGTTAGAGGAGGTTCTTCGGTGGTCCTTTACTTCCTCCAAAGTGGACCAGCTGATCCACTTCTTGATTACAGTCTTCTAAAATGTAGTAAGATGTAACAGACAAAAACTGGACTTAGATCAAAATATCAACAGAATATAAATACCGGCTACAATAAAGGATTGTCCTATTTTAAGGGCTTTTGGATATCTTAATCAATGGCTTACTGCTTGGACATATCAGCAGAACCAAATACTTTATGGACAAAGTACAGTTGTGTAAGGGTTACTGAGTGATATTTGTTGTTTCCCAAAACATGAAGGCAGCTGCTAAGTTTTCTTCAGTTGGAAAAATGTATACACTTCCATTTCTGTTGCAGCATGTAAAAGCTTGAAAACCAGCCTGATACCTGATAGGATATCAAATCTAACAGACAGAAAGGGTTGATTTGGCATAAACAACACCATCTCCCTGCAAAAAGGTGGCTTTTTGGCTTCATCTACTGTCCATTGCCCACCCCCCCCAAAACGATGACCCTTTACTCCCAAAAAACCCTAAGCCACAGGCTGCACTGGGTCACTGACCGTTTTCAGGAATTTGTTATTGTGAGTGATCGCAGAATTCTCGGCAACTCAGATTTTCTTCCAGGAAGTTCGACACTCTTAGTCTGAGCAAACACCCACAAACATATCTCCTCTTTAACACACACACACAGTCACACTTTGAGCGCATGAAAGGCCAGAGCACAAGCACATTACTTGGCAACACACTATAAGTAAGCGAGCCACACACCGAGAACTCAGAGGAGAGATTTCATTGGAGGAGGGCGGGCATGGAGGATTCCTTCCTACACTTTGTCCACCAATCAGTGAAGGCAGAGTGATAAACATGGTTGTAACAGGATCCCAGCAGCACATTGTGTTCCCTCTAAACCAAGAAGAAGAAGAAAAAAAAAACAACAACTTGCCTCCCCTTGCTTCCTGCAAACAGTTAATCTTCTTGTTTATTCTCTTCGAAATTTACAGGAACTTGCGTCTCCTATCGTACAGATCTCCCTTGAGTTTTCAATGGAGAGGTTTAAAAAAACAAAAGGATGAAAAAAAAGATTTGCTGACCAGGGGAGTGAGTCAGACACAGGGGACACAACATGAGAGGTACAAAGTGTCCTTGTCTTTACAGAAAGGGAGGCCAGTGGGCTGCAGAGTAAACTACAATTCAGAGCAGGCACACATCCTGGAAAAGTACCATAGATTATGGACTTTTTTTAAGTAATAAGACAAAAGTTCTGAAAACGATCTGAACTTCAATAGAAACACTCACTGTAAGCAATACCCCAGTTTGTTACAATAGCCAACAGGTTTCCTCCTTCATCCTAACCTCTGCCCCACCTCCGTTCCCCAACCTTTCACTCCAAACAGAGTCTGTTAAATCTGCTCTGTCAGAGAGAATCAGAGGCACCGTTTCCGGTCACAGGGTGCTGTTTGTTTACAGCTACAGAAGCAGCATGGCCAGAGAGTCCTGTGACAACCACAGCCCGTCAAGTCAGTTAGTTTGTCAGCTGACCGGAACCCCCCCTTTAGATAAACCAATACTTTTATTACTAAGCAAAGGAAACAAAAAAAAAAAAACAGCCAGAAAGTGGTTCAGGCAATCAAAGGTCAGATTTGCTTCAAATGCCTCATTCGGTGGTTCATTAACCACAACAGGAGACCCCCAACAGGAGACAGGAGACTTATAGCTAATTATAACCAATATCAGTAATCTTCCAGGCAATTTAAAGCTCAGCTATTTTGGTATCAGAAGACTAAAATAATCCCCATTTCATAATGGCTAAAAATGATTCATTCTTAACTCATTCGAATTTTTTTTTATTTTTTAGAGATCATAGGAAATTGCTGTGTAGGTATGACAGATCCAGCTATTTGGCTTTTGAACCAAGAAATGTAGGGTACTTTAGGTCAGAAAATAAGCATACACAGCCATCTCAATCAATTAGAGTTTGGGTCTGACAGGAAGAGAGATGGGTTCCAAAGTAAAACACACATTGAGTAGGGGGAAATACAAATTAAAGTCTCTCATGGGAAAACAATCAGGTTTGGAGGCACACAGAGCATATAGAGCAGGTGGGGCAGATTTGGGAATAACCAATCAATGAAACAGAACAGAATACAGAAAACTACCAATGATATGAGTTCAGGAGGACAGAAATCAGATAAAGTATTGATCATCTTTGAGCCTTGCAAAAACATCACGCGACATTAGGAAAGTGCAGCTTATCACTCATCCCTAAAAGAAAAAGAAAAAAAAAACTTCAACAAGCACCACAGATCACTCTGAGAATCACCTCTTACGGCCTCACCCAGTACCTATAAACCATCCCACAGCCTTTGCTGCTGTGTTTTTCTGTTCTTTAAATGCAGTTTATTCCATTTGTTTTTATATCAAGATCCTCTATATGTTCTGGTTTAAGGGTATGGTGTGCAGTGTGGTCATTAAGTGGGACTTTGCTTGCTTTGAATCCATGCTGGCTGTTTTTTAATGATCCGTGGGGCATTGTTTGGATTCGTGGGGCACAGAGACAGAAGGGAACAAAAAATCTGCAAAAAAGTGGTGCACTTCATGAGCTGCTGTGTTATGTTTCTGTGAAATGATTTGGTTGGACCACAGAAACATGCTGGTGAGGAGATCGGGGCCCTTCAGTTATACCAGATCAAACAGTATGTATAGAGCTTAGATTACAATCGGTTCCTGTTCAAATGAAAGAAAACAGAAATATATTTGTATCTGCTCTAAACTGGTCACAGTGGCGGCTGGTGAAAAATATTTTTGGTGGGGCTGATATAGCCTAGTGTATGTCTCCAACTAATCCAGAATAAGAATTCAAATAAATAATTGAACAATAAATACAATTTAACAGTAATGATTTAATTTACTACTGTAATTTATTACTGTCTGTGGAAATCCACAAATGAATGACAGTAGGTAGGTAAATGTAGTTTATATAATTTGTTTTGCTTATAGGTACACACTCTAGAGAGTAAAACTGACATTTATGAGTTAATTTGTAAAAAATATATTTTACGTTTCTCTCTTCTTATAAGGGAGGGTGGTGCCCCAGCGCACCCTATGGGCCGGCCGCCACTGACTGGTCAATACCTGAGAGGAAGACTTTAAAGAAAGGAATGTATTTGGGCATTTGGGCAAAGCCTTTTTAACTTTTCTATTTTTTTTTTTTTGCAAGGAAATGTCTCCTTAATAAATACAGACTTCCAAGAGATGATATGAGCTGTTTGAATCGTTTGAACATTAAAGAAAGAAGGATCAGCTCTGGTTTTATTTTGCAACCAAATAAAGAAAGCATTGTTCTAAAGTAAGCCCCTACAATCATGAACATTTATAAAGTCATCTTACCACAAACAGGGTAGAAAAAACTATGACAAAATGTAGCTCAGTTTCCAAATATTCCAGTTCATGTTTAAATAAACACATGCTTGGATTTCTCTCGCACGGCGCTAGGTTTGCTTAACCGCTTTCTTGAATACGTGATTCCAACTTTGTTATTCCACAACTGTCAATTTAGGTCCAATTAAAAAGTGGAGGCTTAGAGTGATGTGTGGTGGTTTTATTTTTGTAGCAATGTAGCATTCTTCCATGCAAAATTTTCAGATCACCTATAAATATATGTATGTATTACAGCAGCTCTAGAATGTGGAGAGTTGAAAGGGACAAAATCAAATAAACAAATATATCATTAAATAAACAAATGAACAATTTAATCAATTAATTACCTATTATTCATTAGTAGTAGTATTTTGCATCTTCAAAAAGTCTCTGTATTTATTCAGGGTGAGGACATCTCTTATCTACTGCTCTCTTTATCTTTTCAAGATTTAAGCAATAATAAAAAGTTTCCCTTCATCCTGGGCTTTTTTTTCTTTCTTTTTTTACATACAGCTTAGTGTTTTTGGCCAAACCTGACTTGAATTTATCCACCATGACAAAAACCGTGACTCGTTTATTCTGGCTGCAGCATGTGGAAGGACCAACCTGTACACCAGAGATCAGCTGCAACTATTGACATTTGTAAACACCGATTAAAAACTTATAAACTTGGGCTGAATTGTTTTGACTTCATTCATTTGATCTTATTTTTATATTATTAACTTTATCTGTTCATGATTTTTTAAGTAAGTTTAAGTTTGTTTTATTCCATTTCACTACAATCTCAAAAAACCTATTTTGGAAAACAAATGTGTGGCACTATTAGAGATTTCTGAACTAATTCATTGTAAGTTAATACTTCATCTTTACTATCTTCTGACAAATAAATGTAAATGCTTTCCCTCACTTATGTAATTCATACTGTTAGCCTTATAGCTGTCTAGTAATATTTTACTTTTACCCAAGATTTTTTAATTGTTCTTTGATGTTTTGCTTCTTTTTTATCATATCTTAAGTCACTGTGTTACATGTGATTATATAAGAAGAGCTCGATCAGTAGTCGAATGGACTGAAATGAATAAAAAAAGAAACAATGGGACTCCATTTAAGCAAGACTAGTTCACAAGTTTGCTGGTGCACAAAACTGTATGAACGTACTGCTCTATTTCCTGAGAAATCGGCAGGAACAATAAGAGAAAGACTGGATTCAATTAAAAATGTTTGTGTCCTTTGTCAAGGAATGCCATATGGCTGGAGACAGCAAGAGCACTCTGTGGGGCCTGCTCCTCCGTGAACAATAGCTCGACCACTGAGACACATCATGTCACGAAGGACAAACATATGGGGTCTGAAAAAAAAAGTCAGCATGCACATCCAACCCAAAAAATAAATTTAATTGCAGCAAATGATTAAAATAGAAGAATATGGGGGGGGTGTGTGTATCGTTTTTGGCACAAACGATAACACCAATCCACCAACCCCCCCCCAACCCCCACGCACACAAACACACACACACTTGGATCACTAATTATCGGGCTGTTTAGCAGTACCTGGTTTTTCCTTTCTCTGCTGGAGGAGGAGCAGTGGAGGACCGAAGGGAGGCTTTGTGCTTGCGAAAGGACAGAGGAGAACAATCTGCCATAGGGATGGAGTAAACTCTTTGGACAACCACATCCACATCCTGATCCACATGGCCAGCCTGGCCAAGTCCTTCAATGGCCTCCAGAAGAGAGAGACAGTGTCTTGTCCTAAAACTGCAGAGAACATTCGATCCTTCAAGCTGTAAGCGAAAAGAACCAGAATAACATAAAATGAACACGTTAGATTTATCTCTGGCATATTTATTTGTAAAAAAGCTTCATTGCATCTCAAAGTGAATATTTATGCCAGTTCCTCTTCTTAAATTCATGTCCTGCTAATTTGTAGGTATTGCTTGTGCTACACATTTGAATAAGCATAAATAAAATAAAATATGTTTACTTAACAGACTCTTTAGTGTGACTACATGGAGTAATCCAATTGTTTTTGTTCCTTTAGTTTTCTCCTGCATTCTAAAGAACAGGGGACATAGCTCCACTTGGTCTCTATCTAGACACCCTTAAAAGACAACTGCTAAATTTGTACATCACATGTAGCTGCAGAATGCCACGGTTATACAGCTGGACTGATGGTTTGTGCGTTTTTATCATCATCATCTATCCCATCAACCTCTCTTGCAGGTCTAGTAGATGACTGCTTATACTCTGGCTCTAAATGAGCTATTTTTCTTCTGTTAACTGGAGACTCTTTCTTTCCACTATGCCCTCATGCATGCTAAGGAAGAAGGATTGCTGCAAAGTCAGCGGGTCACTGCAATCAGCTGGACCTCTTAGATAAAAATTACCATTTGAATTGCCTAAAAAAACCTAAACTTATTTTACTATAAAAGTTATTCAAATTGGACAGTATGTTATAGAATCTTAAACTTAATAAAAGAATGGATTAGACTGCAACAAGCTGATCTGATGTTTTAATAATATTGGACATGCCTGTTTATGCAATTGCTGGGAAATCTAAATTCAAGTCAGTTGACACTTTACAAAAGGAAAACTTTTGTTTTCCTTTTGCAAATCTTGACAAATGAGGAGGTAGGATTGATAGTAGCAGCTAAAACACTTCTTAAAAGATGCCATAAAAATAATCCAGTATTTATACTTGCTTTAATATTTCAAGTACATAAAAGTACAAGTAAATTCATCATATATGACACCTCTAGAGTACACAAGGAGAACACATTTAATCGTGCTGACTAAAGTGCTCCACCATGGGTATTTGTAATTCTTTATGCTCATTATTGTTAAGACATTGCGATGAACCCTGAGGCAATGAACCACAATCTGTAAATTTACAGCTGTAATTTTGTAAATATGAGCTCATAAATATTACTAACATGAGCCTTTTGAACTCTTGTTCTTGTGCACAATAACCAAACCTGAGCAGAACCTCGGGGTTTTTAGCCAAACTGCTGCAAACATAGTATACAGCTGCTGTCATTACATGTTCCAAGTGATCAATTCTCTGCCTGCTTCAACTTTTTTTCCATTAATTGATGCTTAATAAATCGGTTTATTAACCATTTAGACGTTTGTCAATTTAGAGCTTTAAATATATTTCTTGTTTGAGGGTCAATGTATTCATACCTGCGTTGCATTGCTTTCATCTTTGGGCTTGCATTCATCCAGTAGTCCAAATATTTTCCCCAAAAAATAAGGGGCATGTCTCTCAGCAGAGAGCCAAATCTTTGTTGAGGAACTATTATCTGGCTTGGAAGCAGAGGAGACCTTCTGGCTAAAGTGTGTGTTCAGGATAAGCGGACAGCTGAAGCCTTCAATAGACAGACTCTGCCTGAAAAGAGAAAATGATCAGAGATGCTGTATAGATTCTTAAACACGGTGCCTTAACAATGGTTTCAGCTTCTAAAAATTTCCACATATTTCAAAATATTTTGCTGGGAAATTTTATACAAATGTAACATTGCTTCAATACATTTAAATATAAAAATCAAATTTCTCCCCAAACCACTGAAGTTGGTGCCTTCTAGAACTGCTTTCCATCTAGACCAATTTTGTGTATGTAGAGTGATTTTCTATCTTATTCTTCTTTGCCAAAGCAGCTATTAAGATTGGATCGTGAGGGTCTATAAACATCAATATTCAGGCATTCCCACTGATTCTCTGTTAGATCTTGACCTTGAGCTACAAATGACAAATGAGCATTTTATTCATCGTAGCTAATGCTGGTAGTTGATACTGCTCTGGGATCCGATTTTCAAAAGCAGGATTAAGAAATCCAGAATCTCTGATGAAACAAGGATTAAAGATTAAAAGAATATTTTGCAGACTGGTAGTATCTGGATAAAAAATTGACTACAACGTACAAATGACTTAGAAGGTGCCTGCACACATGTTTGATCCTCCTCCTTATTTTTGGTTTTAAATAAGGCTCAGGTGTCTGGCACTGGAGGGGACCCACCATTCCCAGAATCAGGCCAGCAGAAAAGTTGGCCCTCAATTCAAACAAAGAAAGGTCTCATTTAGAAGAGATCCATGGAGGTATAGGTTCTGGAGTCATGGACTCCAGGCTAATTTGCCCCAATGTCACTGAAGATGGAGAAAGCAGAATTTGCATAGTTGTGTCCCAACTTAGTGTTGGTATTTTTTGTAATGTGCCAATGCGCTCCAGAAGGTAATTTATCTGCATGTTTGTGCAGTCTACTACAAGTATAGCATTAGGGGATCCTGAATTTAAAACAAACAAACAAACAAACAAAAAAAAACAATCAAAACAACTGAACCGGGCCGTGCTAAACTGGTACTAGTTCATCAGTAGGGCTCGGCGTGGTTCAGCTCTGGCTCAGTTCTGAGATAACAAAGAGTGCATGAGCAGACTGTGTCCTCTCCTTATAGTCAGCCTCTGTAATCATGAAATTTCAGACATTTATAAAAATACCAACTTCCGTACTGTGCCACACGATTTTCAGCGATGATTCTGCTTAAGTGTGATGAAACTCAACATCCGTCATTGTTTCCTGCATCTGTAAACCCTGATTTAACTATCACTTGTCGTTTCCACTTCCCAAAAGCCGACTCTGTCAAGTAAATTCACCAAAGGCTGCCTTCTTCGCCTGACTCCGCAAGCTTCCTGAATGTTATGGGCACCACCATGTTGATTTTCTTGTTTACCTCTAGAAAGCAGCAGTACCCTAGATGGACACTAGGAGGCGAGGAACCATGCTAGTATGATGTGTACTGTAAATGGTCTTAAGGAACAGGGCTTGGCACGGTTAACTGATCCTAGCTCGGCACGGATCGTTTTTCAGAGGGTGGTATAAATGGGGCTATAGTCTTATTAATGTCAATATTTAATATTGTAGAATCGCTCCTTGAGGTAGGTGAACCTTCTGTGGCCAATAAGGTTATAAAGATTTGCGTATATCCTTTTAAGGTCAAATGCAAACCACTGCCTGGTTCTGCTGGAGGTTTCTTCCTGCTAAAAGGGAGTTTTTCCTCTCCACTGTCGCTACACGCATGCTTAGTGTGAGGGATTGCATTCGAGTCAATGAGTCGATGCAATCAACTGGTTTTCCGTAGATGGAAAACTTTGAATCAATTTGACTGTATGATCTGGTGAACTGTAAAGTGCCTTGAGATTACATGTGTTGTAAATTGGCGCTACATAAATAAATTGAATTGAAATTCCATTGAATTTAAGGTAAAGCAAATATTAGCTTTGCTAAGATTCTTAGTATCTACTACTACACACAGATCACCTGTGTAATGTCAAAGGCATGCCCCCTCTGACCACAGCCTCCACGTGTGGCTGATGCAATCCACAGAAAAGCGAGTGGAACCTGTCTCCTCAGCTACTATGCAATTCAGACATTGACGCGGCATTGTAAAGGAAGACCCACAGGTGTGTATGTACTTTTATGGCCTCACTTTATAGAAAACATCTTTGCTTCTTTATCAGATGTTTTTCCTAATCCCCTCGACAAAAGCAATAGTCTATCAAAGAGCTTTCTGTCAAACCTAGTCTTAAAAAGAAAAAAGAAAATAATCAGTTACAATGACCACGTGGTTAATGGTATAGCCCACCATAATAATGCTTCAATTATTAAAGTACTTCACTGAATGCCTTCACATATCAGGGGTATTTTAAAATTTGCTGAAATAAAAAGACCAAAAAATGGGATCAATGACAAAACTTGTTGATGTGTGATCAATGTGACACTGACTGAACAGATAAGGCAGCAGGGTTAAGTAGGTTGATTATCTGATGGTCTGGAGCAGGCCAGCCTCACAGAATAACCAGCCCTGGTAATTAAGGTCTGCAATCTTGGTTTTGTAAAAAAAAAAAAAAAAAAAAGGCTGCAGATGGAAGGTAAACATCTGCTACAGTCTGAGTTGTTTTTAATCATCTTTAAAGTTTTCAGATTCCTCTGCATTTATAACAATCCACCCATCCTATGAACTATTTGGACCAACTCCTCCATCCTTGCTAAAGAAACACGTGCTGCCACAGCGTCATGTCAAGGGTAACAGGCAGTGTTCATTTTATAACAACAATGAGTTTTGTAAATAGGCCAATGTTTCCAGGTTTGATCTCAGATTCAGGAAAAAAAGTTTTAATGTCAAGTAACTTTCCATTCATACAAGGAATTTGCTTTGGTGATGAGATGCTACATATAGAAAAACGAACATAGAGTTGACATATATAGATTTGGAGTGCAAGTTCTATGCAAGCTCACATGCAACATAACTTCTAAGTCATAACTTACTCTCTCAAAAAGTTGTTGTACTCTGGGTTTGGATGATGGATCTCATAGTGCTAAATAAAATGCCCAAACCTTAGAATACTAGCAAGTAAACCTGCTTTAAATATCTCCACGACTTTTCCACTGCTCTTTCTGTTTTGTTCTTTGACAAAACTCAGACCCCTTCATACAACACCTGTATTAAGACTATATACAGGTGGATTGGTTTATATTTAGGGTAATCCAAATAAATCGGAGCAAATGTATGCTACAATCCTTTTTTTCTGAAAAGCAATAAATATCTAAAAAAAAAAAAAAAAAAAACAGTAAATCAAAACCGGAGATGCATCGACCCAATAACTGGATCGACTATCAGTTCTGATATCAGATAATGGGGATCCAATCCAGTCTACTTTACATGGAACTGTTATTTCTCTGTTTTTGCTGCTTACGCGTTAACAAATAATATAATATACATTTATATCTATATTATTTTTTTGTTACCTTTTATTTCTTTTACATTTGCGCCAAGGCTAAAGCGTTCACTAATATGGCAAGATATATGGTTAATTAATTCAATAGTTTAAGCGGTTCGGTATTAGATATTGGCCGATACATTCAGCCTAGTAGGAGTCGGTATCTGATTGGAGTGGAAATAACTGGATCGGTGCTCTAATCTCTAATCAAAACACTGCATTAGTATACGATATATAGAGCGGTTTAGTTTTTATATGAAAGTTCTAATATCAAGAGAAAAAAAAAAAATCAAAACATTAATGGCCTTGTGTGAAAAAGTGATTAGCAACAAAAAAAACCTTGATTAAGAGATTGCTATAACTTAAGTGTTTTACAGCGCTGTGGAGGAATTAATCCAGAATGGAAGGTTTTCTACCTCCAATCTCTTGTCTTGAACAGCCTTTTTAATGTCATGCCGCAACATCTTTGTAGGATTCAGATCAGGACTTTGACTAGGCCAACCAAATAACTTTATTTTCCCTCAGCCATTCAGAGGTAGACTTGGTGGTGGGTTTTAGATCACTGCCCTGCTGCTGAATCCATAATTCCTACCAGCTTGAGGTCACATACAGATGGTCGGATATTCATCTTTAGGATTTTTTGTTAGACAGCAGAATTAATGGTTCCAGTTATCACAGCAAGCCTTCCCTTTCCAGAAGAAGCAAAAGAAAAAAAAAAAAGAAAAGAAAAGAAAAAATCCCCAGACCGTCAGACTACCACCACTATATTCTGCAGTTGGTGTGATGTATGATGTTCTTTCTCAGAAATGAGGGGTTACTTTTACGGCAGATGTGAGAGAGGCCTTTCCAAAAGTTCCGCTTTTGTTTCATCAGCCAACAGAACACTTTCCCAAACGTCTCATGGATCAACAAAAAGTTTTCTGGGAGTGCAACAGCGATGCAGGGGTGAAGCGCTTGGTCCATGTACAGAGGCTTTGGTCCTTGATATGGCCATCACAGGTTCGATTCCCAGCCTGGTGACCTTTGCTGCAGGTCTTTCTCTATTCCAATTTCCTACTTTCAAAAATGAAGGCTATTAGAGCCTGGAACTAATCTTAAAAAAAAATTCCTGTAAAAAATTAACATGAGCCTTAATATTACTGTTTTAGTGTCTTGGAACTCTTTTATTCCCAGTCTCTTTCTTATGATGGAAGCATTCTTTGAATGTTGTTTTGAGGTCTTTGCTGCCTTTCTTGGGGCATTTTGGCCAGCTGGTCAATCCTAGAAAGGCTCACAGCTGTTCATGATTGATAGATTTGAATCCCTTTCTTTCTCATTTGCTTCTGAATCTCTTTGGATCTCATTGTGATGTCAGGCTTAGAGGATCTTTTGCTGTAGGCCTACTTCGCCTTTTCCGGAAGATCTTATTTAGTCGATTTGATGATTGATCAAAGGTGTGGCTTTAATACGGTGAACTCAGGTGTTATAAACCATAGTTATGTTTTAACAAGGGGGCTTGTTTTAACAACAGTCAATTAATCCCTTTTACAAATGGCCATGTAGCTTTGTACTCATTATAATAAAGCAATTCATTTAAAAACTGAATGTTGCGTTTACTTCTGTTGTCTTTGTGTGAT